ATTTTGAGTTTATACTTGTATTTGATGTAAGAAGCAGGTGGTCCAGCTTCATTTTTTTTTCATCTATCTCTTCAGTTTTCCCAACACCACATGTTGAAGAGACTGTCTTTACCTCCATTGTATATCCTTGCCTCCTTTAGATTAAATGACCATATAGACATGGATTTATATCTGGGCTTTCTATTCTGTTTCATTGATCTATGATTCTGCTTTTATGCCAGTATCATGCTGTTTTGATTACTATGGGCTTGTAGTATAGTTTGATACCAAGCAGTGTGATACCTCCTACTTTATTCTTCTTTATCAAGATTGCCAAGGCTATTGGGGATCTTATATGGTTCCATATACATTTTAGGATTACTTGTCCTAGCTCTCTGAAAAATGCCATTGGTATTTTGATAGAGATTGCATTGAATCTAAAGATTGCTTTGGGTAGTATGGCCATTTTAATGCTGTTGATTCTTCCTACCCACGAGCATGGTTTATGCTTCCATTTATTTGTATGTTCTTCAGTTTCTTTCTTCAATGTCTTATAATTTTCAGTGTACAGGTCTTTTACTTCTTTGGTTAAATTTATCCCCAGGAATGTTATTGTTTTTGATATAATTCTAAATGGAATTGTTTTCTTAATTTCTCTTTCTGATAGTTTGTTATTCATGTATAAAAATGCAATTTCCAAATATTGATTTTATATTCTGCTACTTTATTGAATTAATTCATCACTTCTAATAGTTTTTTGGTGGAATCTTTAGGGTTCTTTACATAGAATATCATGCCATCTGCAAAGAATAACAGTTTTACTTCTTCCTTTTCAACTTAGATACCTTTCATTAAGTCATCTATGTTTTCTGACCTCACATTCTCATCTCACATATTCACTCCTCATGGAAGACACCTTCCAGACCTCATCATTCTCAACTGCTGCACAGCAGCATTTACCACCAGTTTTAACCCCTTCCTTGAATCTCTTTTTCTTCCTTCTTCCTTTCCAGGGCCTTGGGCCAGACTCTAGGGGCCTAAAGAAGAATCAGACATGGCCCCTGCACTAAGCTCCCCTCTCTGCACTTGTTCTGGGAGACAGTTACAGTTGTCCCTGCTTTCCAGCCAGACTTCTCGAATAAGCTGTCTTCATTTATATTCTCCCTTCTCTCACTGGCCCTCTCCTGCATTCCTAAACCCTCTGTACACTGGTCTCCCACCCCATTGCTCCACTGCAATGGCTGGTGCCAAGTTCACCAATGAACTCATTGTTGATAAACCTAGGGGGTACCATTCAATCGTCATCTTACTAAAACATTGTTGAACCCACTTTCCTAATAGATATGCCCCTTTCTTCTATTGGATACTGTGACAGCCCTCCCAGGACTCTTCTTTATCCCTGGGTGATCACATCTGGTCCTATGGCTTTGAATAGCACTCATGTACTGGTGACTCAATCTCTATCTCCAGCCATGACCCTCTTCTCTCTTGCAGACTAGACCTGAGTACCACCAGCCTCGGGTGCTCGCTCAGTAATCCAGTTACTGAGGTCTAGAGTCCTGTTTTGTCCATTCCATTTCTACCTCCTTGGGACAGGAGCCTTGCTCTGCCATGTATATCCGGGGCTGAACTCTTATTCTCTGGTTGGGCATTTTCTAGGTGCTGTTCAAGACCTCAGGAATAGCAAGTATACATGCATTGCTATTTATTAGTAATTATCTAATAATAGTAATGCTGAGAGTGGCACATAAGTTTTGTTGTATACTAAGCATGTGCCAGACACTGTGCTAAATGCTTTACATGGGCTATGATATTGAATCATCAAAAATGCCCTGCGAGATGGAAAGCGTTATAACTCCCATTTTATGCATGAGAAACATGAGGCTCAGGGGGCTTTAAGTAACTTGCTCATGGCCATTTAGCTAGCATCTAATGGAAGACCTAAAATTCAAACCCAGCCCTGCCTATAGTGGAGCACAGAGGCCTAATCACTGCTCTGTGCTGCCTCAGCCTCCACTATCTGTTCTATCTGCTCTAAAGCCTGACCATCCTCTGCTTGACTCTTCATTTACTTCAGCTCCCGGCTTAGCCTTATATCTAGGTTGCCTCCTCTAGTGTCTCAGGCATCTTGGGGTTGCTGCAAGCCCAGATACTTAACAAATTAAGAGTTTTATACAACGTGTTGGGTCTGGTAAATTTCCCTTGGCCTAATAGGAAAAGCATGTTGTACATGTGTTATAGTTTGGGCCAAGCTAGGGCAGAAACACACAGACTTTATGATCAGCAGCTCTGGTTTTACTCCTAAACCACAAGTATAGTTTGATGTTGGTTATTAAATGTGATTATTCACAACTAATGAAGAGATTGCTCACAGCTATTCTGATCAATGGGTAGTTTGGCTTAGTTATGAAAATAAAGCATGTATGTTAACTTTTCTGTTTATATCCAGCTTGAATATCAAGTTGAAGAGAGACATATTTGAAGTACAAACAACCCGGGACAGAGAAATGGACACACACACACACACACACACACACACACACACACACACACACATACACACACACAGAACAGACAATAAATGTGAAGGTTCTTGGAACATTAGAAAGTTGAAATGCAAAATGCAAGGGACTGTTCTCATAATTGTGACTTAAGGCTCTTTCCCCTCATCCCACCTTCCATATTTCTGTTCTGCCACCCTGGTTACCTGGGGAAGACCCTGCGTCTTCTCCAGTAACCCTCTCTCCTTTGCCTCCTCCCCCACTCCATGTAATGAGCCATCAATTGTATCAATTAAACCTCCTCCATATTGCTCCCTCCTTTCCAACCATCCCTGTGGCTCTGCTCTCAGTCAGATTTACATAATTCCATTTTGGGGAGAAAAGAAGCTGCAGTCTGCCTGCCCCTATCAGAAGGATCTTCTTGAAGAACAGTTCTGACATGCAATATCCCTGTGCAAAACTCTTCTGTAACTTTCCCTTTGCCTACAAGATGATGTGAAGGTTCTTGGCCAGCATAGCCTGCCCATACTCCCACTCCAGCTTTACCTCCCAAAATACGTCTTCACACAAATGCTCCCGGCAAATTCTTCCTTGCTCTCTATTAAGCACCACACATTTCTAATTTCAACACCTTGGCTGGCTCCCTGCTTGGAATGCCCATCTCTGCACCTCTGCCTTTCAGACCTATTTATTGCTGCCATGCTCAAATCCATGCAAAGCACATGCTCTTCCTTCCTGTATGCAGACTCCAGGACTGCCCAGCCACAGGCAGGCCTACCTTCCTGTGAATGCCAGGGCAATCTGACTTTCTACCTCATGATAGTAATTTCCAAGAGAAGCTCCCTCTCCTCTCTTGCACCACATATGTGAGAGCCAAGACTATGTCTGAGGCCCTGCTATATATTCCTCCATCACCAAGTCCAGGGCCCCTCACAGACATGCACATGTGAAATACTTGGAAAACTACAAAGTGTGATTAATCTCAACCCTTAAGAGAAATTTGCCCTGGGTGGGTCCTCTGATGAGGAAGCTGTAACTGCTTGCCTCTTGGCTGCCCAGATTCAGTCACTCATTCAGCATATTTAACTAATGCCAGCCATTGAGTATTGCACTCAATTGAGGGGAATACAGGTAAATCATACAAATCTCCTTTTCCTGGAGCTTCCGTGTCAGTGGAGAAAGAGACATGCATATAAGACACTTCAAGTCCAGGGCTGGCTATAGTAAGTGTAGAATCACCCCTCTCCACAACAGTCTGGTGCTGGACAGAAAGGTAAGCAGAAGGCCTGGCCGTTTTCTCTATCTGGAGGCTCAGGAATGCTCTGTGTTTGCCTGTTCCCTGATCTGCAGCATGTCTCCCTGCAAGAGAGGCTACATAATTTGCAGGGCCCAGGAAAAGATAAAAATAAAAGGTCACTTGTTAAAAAACTATTAAGAATTTCAAAAGGATGACAGCAAAGCATTAAACGAGCATGGGGGCCCTTCTGCTTGTAGGGCCCTGTGGAATTGCACAGATCACAAGGCCAAGAAGCTGGCCCTGTCACAGAACTGGGAAGCATACACACAAGAGGCCTAAATGTGCCCCGCAGTCTTTTTTATTTCTCTCTTTCACAGAGTCTGCAGGGAGCCCAGGTCCCAGTGAACTCAGCAGCACTAAGACACAGCTGCACAAAGATCAGTAACAAGTATTTGTTGAGTGCCTACCGTGCACCCAGAACTCATCTGTTTCAGGGATATGGTGGAAAACCAGACAGACACATTTTTTAAATTTTGTTTTCTTTTGCTTTTGTCACTGAGCTTACTCCAGTAGGGGAAATCCACCATAAACAAGGTCACGAAGAATTGCCCAAGGAAATCATTACTTGTTTTGAAGATGACAAAGCAAAATGATGGGGTGGGTATAGGTGGTGGAAAGGGTGTATTAGATTAGTAGAGCTTCTCTAAGGAGCCACCAGGCAACCTGGGATGCACGCAGCTCCTTCTAGAGCAACAGGTGAAGATGCTAGTGTTTGGCATCAACTTGATACGAAAATCTCTGCAATACTTTTCACTTCCCACCCGTGGCGCACTAGCAAGCTACAGGGTGTCAGAGAGGAAGAAGAAGCCCATCCAGCCTGCCCATATTGCCCTTGCTTGGCCCAGTCTGCGGCTGCCTTCCTACCCATGGCCGCGGGCCGGCGGTTTCCTCCGTCTGGGATTCCAGTGCCCTCGAGGCTTAGCTCCTCCCTCCCTCCCTTCTCCCTCGCCCCTGGCCGTCAGGCAGTGCCGCAGTGGCGGCGGCGGCGGCGGCGGTGACTGGGGATGCGATGGCACTTGGTGACAGGGGTTTCTCCCCAACTTCCCCTTCGACCCCCTATTGCCCCCTCCTACCCTCCCCCTTTCTGCCCCGGTGGCAAACACGTCATCGGAGATTTCCAGCGGGGCCTGGGGAGTGTGGGAAGGGTGGGGAGTGATGGGCGGGGCAAGTGGGAGGAGTGAAAGTTGGAGCGCAACAAAATTCTCCACACAGTGCTGGGAGCTGCAAGACCGTGCGCTGCGACTTCCGCGCTGGTTGTCGCGCCGGTCTGCGCCACGATGATAACCAAACTTCTCCTGATCCTCCTGGGCATATCCATCATCCTCCCGTTAAGGTGAGTTTCCATCCCGGAACCTAGGAGCCCTCTGCAGCCAGCTCCCTTTCCCCGGGAGCGAAGCCGGCAGCCGAGAGCCACGCGCCCACCTTGCTCCCGGCCCTTATGCAGGCAGCCTCCACCCCGCTTCCTACAGGATGGGCGCACTAGGCTCCTAACGGCGGCCACCTTCCACCCCGCTTCCTCTAGAAGCGGAGCGCTAAGCTCCTGAATCCGCCGCCAGCCTCCCTGCGCTCTTCCTCTAGGACCGGCGCGCTGAGCTGCTGAAACGGCAGCCAGCCTGCATCCCGCTTCTTTTAGGACGCGCGTGCTGAGCACCTGAAACGGCTGCTAGCTTCCACCCCGCTTTCTCTAGGACGGGCGCGCCGAGCTCCCGAAACGGCGGTAAGTCTCCACCCGCTTCCACTAGGATCGGAGCGCTGGGCAACCGAAACGGCGGC